CCTAGCTTCATGTTGAACAGGTGAGCCCTAAGGGTATTGTGGCCTGGCAGAAGTCCTATCGCAATCCTCAGATTTTTCCTGTTCAGAGCGAGAAGTTCTCATTTTAGTTTATTACGCCTTCATAAACAGTTTAGCCAGTTTAGCCTGAAATTTCCGCTGTAGTTGGTCTTTTCTGATTCTATTACCCACTACGAAGGCCATACGCGTCACACCCTCCGGAGGAACGCCCTCCGTTCCTCTCTTAACCTGCTGGTCCGCCTCTTCGTTCCCCTGTAGTTTCTTCTGTCCCAGAGTGGCACGAGCTTGCATGCACTCCCGCACCACACTGGAATTAGTAGTTGCTTTTTCCAGTGCTTTTATTTCCGCCTGGCTGTCACTGCAGATGAAGATTTTCATACCTTCCGTCTCTTTGCTACCAGGTGCTCGGCACACTTGACTATGGCCAACACCTCGACTTGAAAGACTGTTACACACTGGCCCAAGAGAAAGCTTTTCTCGAAGCTATCTTTCAATCTTTAGATTCCCGCCCCAAATCGGTCGTTGTAGCCAAATCTATCGGCAAACTAATACTCCTCCCTGGGTCCAGGTTTAAGTTCAGAATCTAGTCACTGCTCTCTGAATGGTATTCTGGTTTTGAAGGCTTTATTAATTTGATATTTTTTCCCCCTGTCGGATCTACTTGTCAAAGGATTTCCATTTATCAAGCTAAGTTGAAAATGACCTTGGCTTGACGTTTTCCATTCTTGCTGACATCGCAACCTGTAAGGTGTTGTGCTTACAACTTATCACTCTGAGGTCTAAAGGTTGCTATTTCAAACGCCTCATAAGCTATGATCTTCATGGTCCCCGCTGCTACCCTCAGGAAAATTCCCTGTAGGCCTTGCAACGGGTTCCTCATTTCCACCTTTCCTACCCTTGGCCTCCAGACTACCGCAGCGTACATCAGCTTTGGTAGTATCTGATCTCATCAGGTAAAATAAAAATGAAAATATTTCAAATGCAAAGATGTGACGGGTAAATTAGATCGTCCCGTAGTCGAGATTTCGCGAAATATCTCGAAAATCCGAATCGCGGAATTGGTATCTCGAAATACCAAAATTTATTTCATGACCGCTTTTGTAGAGTAGAATGAAAGCTACAAAAAAGGTATTAACGAAAATTGCTTCATCTCTTCTAGATTCAGAGATATTCCTTGAAAACTTACCTTTGAGCTAAATCGACTTTTCGTGAAAGCCATTATTTTGTATTTTAGGAAACTGAGGACAGTTTTGACCGCACGAATTCTGAAATATCTCAATGAGAGATCGACAAAACAACTTGAGGAATACAACGAATTTTACAAGGATTATGGATTATTTCTGAAAGAGGGGATTGTGACAAGTCACGATCACAACGAGAAGGTAAATCTCATCATTAATTTGAACAATGTCATTTTTCAACTAATTTTTCCCTTGAGAAACTTATGTCTTTTTTTGACATTGTTTTTATTGAGCATTGCGAAATTCGATTGCTATCCAGATTGCTATTAACTAGGAAAATTCGCGCGCGTATTACTCGCTCTTGAGGCGACAAATTAGAAGAAAAATGATCTAACTTATTTTCTTAGAGAAAAGGATGACTTTTCTCTTGGAGGAAAAAATTTGGTGATTTTATGGAGATCTATGAAATATTTGACTATATCAGAAAATTAAACTCTGTCAGTACAAAAACACTTTTACAATTAATTTATTCAATGAAACGAAAATTATAACATAGAATATTTAATTGAAGGCCCGCATGGACTATCTATCGAACGTGATCTTTAGTTTGAATTTAATCTTGTTAGCCTAAAATATATTAAAATCTGGGCTTAAATTTGTGTTGTGGAAACCACTCCAATGGTTATAAAAAGATGATGAAAAAAAAGGGAAAAAGTGCTGAATGGGCGCAAAATCGAGATATTGATTCTAAAGGGTCTGCCAAGTTTACAGAAAAATAAAGAAAAATACGCAGTTTACCATCGGTAACATTTAAGAGTCCATTTTGATTCTATATTGTTATTGTCAAATGTATTCTTTTCCTGCACCATGGTTTCTGGTAAACTGCGTGTTTTTAATTATTTTTCATCACGATGTGCCGAAAAGTAACTTTTCAGGCAGGCGCAGCGAAGCGGAAAAGTGACTTTCTCGCACATTGTTAAGAAAAATATTGTTCGCAACTCGTGCAGAAAGTAATTTTTGGCTTGTGGGATTATACCACTCGCCTTTGGCTCGTACTATAAACTTCCCACACGCCAAAAATCACTTTTCCGCACTTGTTAGGAAATATACTATTTCTGTAAACTTGGAAGATCCCTTGGAGTCAATATCTCGATTTGCCCCCTTTCAAGAATTTTTCCTCTTTCTCTTCATTATCTTTTTATAACCATTGGAGTGGTTTCCGCAACACAAATTTAATCCCAGGTTTTAATATATTTTAGGCTAACGAGATTAAATTCAAACTAAAGATCACGTTCGATAGATATTTCATGCGGGCCTTAATGGAATAAATAGGTATGAAATGTGGACAAGAAACGAGTCACATGGAAATCATTCCTAACCAACTTCATACAATAACAATGGAATGATAAGCAGACAAAAAAAACTTGCGGTCGATTTTATCCATGTAATGCAATTTTTTATATATTTATATAAATAAATATTTGATATAAAAAAAAATTTGATAAGCTTAAGATTTTGATCATGATTCAGGCGAAATAGATTGGTAACAGATTTCGTTTCATGACTTTTTTCTTAGAGAAATTCCATGGAATAATTGAAGAAAAAGTTTAAGTTTATTCTACTTTCATATACTTTAATTTTTTTATTTTATAAGTACTCTAATAAAGCGAATGAAGTTGGTTGAAAGATTCAGTCAATTATTGAAAATCAATACATATACATTAGGAAGCCACTGGGAAACTCTTGCGAATCGAGTCATCGTCGAAGCCAGCTGGAGAGCTTATTAGCCTTCCTAAACACTGCGAGGGTCTCTTCCAAGAACAAAAGCACATATATTACCTATCCGCACCGAGTAGAGCCATCCGTAGCAGAGCAATCCCCCTATTACGAATCTTTCAAAAAACGAAACTACGAAGTCCTTTTCTGCTACGAGCCTTACGACGAGTTAGTTCTGATGCAGTTGGGTCGTTTCGGTCCTCGTTCCCTCACATCTGTAGAAAAAGAAATGCGAGACGATGTGGAGTCCACGAAGGAGAGCACAATCGATGGGATAAACAAGCAGGAGGTCGACAAAGTTCTTGGATATATGAAGAGTGTGCTATCGAAAAAAGCGTCTGAAGTGAGGACAACGAATCGTTTGGAATCTCATCCCTGTGTTATCACGGTCCAGGACAGGGCCAGTGCGAGGCACTTTATCAGGACTCAGAGCCTGATGGCTTTAAT